AGCTTAGTTGGTTGAGCTCTTCTACTTTTATCTGTATGTGGGCAAAGGTTTGAAAACCCTAAGCACCCAATGAATACTTGTAAACAGGGACGAATCCAGGATTTCAAAATACACTGGGCTGGATTTCCCTTATAAACAAACTCGACAGTACGAGTGAATTTCATTGATAACAAAAATTATACACCTAATCAAGGGGATATATTGGGCCGTACCCTCAAAATACATCTAGTACATAAGATATAAACTAGTAAAAAAAGATAATAATAAATAAACATGAAATGCAAATACATAATACAACTATTTGAGTTGTACCCTTCTAGGCTTCAAAGAGTTGAAATCAGTAATTATTGATTCGTTATCAATACTGCCAGCAAATTCTTTTTCTATGTGAAGTATCATACAATCAGCAAGAAACTCATCATCTATCTTGTTTTGAAGTCGATTTTTGATAAGTCTCATAGAAGAAAATTCACATTCTATTGTTGCTATAGAAACCGGAAGAGTTAACACTAAGTGAATCAATCTATCAATCAAGTGGTAGGTGTGTATTAACCCTATTTCAAGTAAGTTTTGATTCTGTTTGCTGTGAATGCAGGTACGAAGTGGGCTATTCCTTCTATTTAGCTATTGATATTTTTTTTTTTGGGCTAAGACTACATCACATATAAAAATCTTCTTTTTTTTTTTGGCATGGGCTATAGCCCATACAGCCCATTAGCTGCATTCGTCCCTGCTTGTAAACCCGGCCCACAATCGATTGAACTAGAAAAAAAAAAAAAAAACCCAAATCCCTCCAATCAATTATCAAATTGAAATCCTAATAAGTGGCTCCATACTATTAAATTTCATACAAATCAATCATGTATATTAGATATTATAGTAAATTTGGTTTACATCCTTCAAATTCAATTCGCCGTAACTACAACCCTTCACTTTTTGTTCCTAAAAATAATACCCAATTTGTATAAGTAAAACCCATGACTAGGATCCAACTCAGCAAGTTACCTAATTAAGCATAAAATCTGATGAGTGCTTCTATTTCCACCCACCTATTCTATTTCCCCACCCACCTTATCTTCAAAATTTAAAAACAAATTTATCCATTTGTAAAATGACTTTTAAGGACTTTAGATTAAAAAAAACACATATTCTCCTTCATCCTTGTCAAACCCCAACCCCTCCCTCTCTTCCTCATCCCGACCAAACCCAAATCAAAATTCCAATAAAGCTTCAAAATTTCTAGATGGGTCCAATCCAATTCCATCATATTTCTCCTCAGTTTCTGAACCCAAGGGCACAGGCTTTCTATTCCATTTGCTCAGTTTACTCTTCATCTTCTTTCTAATTTTGGCATTTCTCTCCGTTATTGTTTTCGTTCGGTGGAGTGACGATGAACATTGAGAGCGATTTTCTTTATTTTTAAAAAAATTTAATAATACTTTACAGAGGATCCCAAGCGTTTTGATTGACAGGGGTTGAAGGTTTGAAGCATGCTTTGAATGAAAGCTTTCTATTCCATTTGCTCAGTTTACTCTTCGTCTTCTTTCTAATTCTGGCATTTCTCTCCGTTATTGTTTTCGTTCGGTGGAGAGACGATGAACATTGAGAGCGATTTTCTTTATTTTTTAAAAAATTTAATAATACTTTACAGAGGATCCCAAGCGTTTTGATTGACAGGGGTTGAAGGTTTGAAGCATGCTTTGAATGAAAGTAAAAAGAATCTGCTTGAATTAATAATTAAATGGTATTTTAGGAATAATGGCGGGTGTAAAAATAGGATAATGTTTGTTCAAATTTACATGGTGGGTGGGAAGATAAGGTGGTGGGGAATAGGACTGGGGGGTGGAAATAGCAGCACTCAATCTAATTTATTGTACTTTTCAGATTCCAAAAATACCCCTAACTAAGCCATTATTGCATTTTGTATATTAATGTAGGAATCAATATGGAAACAGTTTTTAATTGGATTGTATATAATGACAGACATCTCCAAATGGTTGTAATGGATGTAGAAATTAATTTGGAAATATTTTTTAAAATTTAACAATAAATACAGATTTAGGTAATCGGTTTGTTTAATAAAAATGTTTATGTTATTTTCTTTTTATGAATTATACATGACTAATAATCTACTTTATAATTGTTTATGAATAATACTGTACATACTAATTATGTTGAAAAAATAATGTACCTATTACTTGTTCTATGAAAAATAACTAATAATCTTTTTATTGTTTGTTTTATGAAAAATATAATTTACCTAGTATGAATAGTGTACCTGTTTTTAATTTATAAAAAGTGTACATAATTATCTATTCCAATATACCTACATTATACGACATCCAATATACCTACATTAATTTTAAT